GGTTTTTCTATTATTGGCTACACATGCTGTCAAAAACTGAGATAAATGTTGATTGGGATCCGCATCCAAAAAATCTCTAAAAGTAGGTAATGGAGCCACAATTGTTGTGCGATCGCTCACATCACCCATTTGTACTGCAATTGGAAATGTTGGACCACTTGTTGTCATTGAAGGAAACAATATACCACTTAATCTTTTATTAAAATAACCGATGCCTTTTCTAATTGATTATTCTAAACTTTCAATTTTCTTCAATTTGCTATTATTATTCTCTAATAAGTTATTTGATCAAATTGGGGATAAAAACGACGAATTTTGAAATACTCTGAATTGGCCTTTATTGACTAGTAATGAATGCCACTCTACAAAATCAGTTTTGACGAAATCAATAGCTTTCGTTATTGGAAACGTATCCAAGGGAGTATCCAATTCTTTTGTGATTTCTCTACTCGTAGTTAATGGCCTCATAGGAAATACTCGTCTATTGACCCAATTCTCTTCGAGTGCTCGTGGCAAATTCTCTAACAGAATATATTTCTAAAATATTAAATATCGATCGACTTCTAAATACACTCAAATGTACCGACAAGCATGCAACTATGGCTTAATCCAACTCTGTTGATGTTTGTATTTTAACTTTTATTCTTGCTCGTTACGCAACAAATTTCTTGCTTACGATCTCTCTATTCTTTTTTTTGACTGCCGCATTCTCTTTATTCTTAAGTTCTCACTCTTAATAACCATACTCTATCATTATATTCTACTAAGTATGCTTCCTATTTCCTATCTACTCATTCAGCAGTTAATTCCTAACACTCAATGCTATTATCAATTCCCGGCAGTGGCGCCAAAATGTAATTGTTGTTTTACTTATTCTACAAATTCTTTTTAAAATAAACTTGTAGATGGAGATTCGAACACAAAGAAAGACTATTGCATGAGCTTACACATTAGGATCACACAATTAATCGTAATCCGAATCACTAAAACACCAAAGAAACACTACAATGCTTTCTACTTCTTAATAGTACTCTGCAATCATTGATAACAACAAAGCGCAACTCTCATACTGTCTAAAAAGACCACTCCGAATACATAAATTCCATCCAATACTAGAAATAATAGACTTCCACTCCAAAAAATCTATCTTCACATAATTTTTGTAATCACACACTTCTTCCTTCAAAACACTTAGCTCTAAATAATTAATAATCATAATCTTCCATCCATAATCAATCTTCCATAGAGTTTGATAACCAATTCTCAATATCTTCTCACAATAATTCAACCACATAGTACTCCAATTACATACTCAATAGCTTATAAATCAATTTCTGATTTATTCCACAAACTCATTTCATAGTAATCAAAACCTAAAACCAAAAAAATAAAAACAAGAAACAAGAGATAGCACCAAGCTTATCCCGGCTCATAACTATCACAGTTTGGCACTCAAACTAACTTCTACAACTCCTATATACTTACTTTCTATTCCCAAATTCTAATTGTAATCCTGTAATTAGCCGCTTTTAATAACTAAGTTAACCATCCATCCTATTGAACGGACTATTCTATGGACTATTAGTCTATTTTACTAATATCTTACAAAAATAAACTAATATCTATTCTATAGTGACCAATATAATGCATTACTTACAAAATCACTTAAAGGGCGACCACCTCCATTCTTCATATTTGAGGTACTAATCAAATATAAGCCACCTTTAAAAGCATTAAAATGAATGGGTTCAAAGTGAGAGTTATTAGAATTATTAGAATAGGGATGTATTAAAAATAGATTATAAGACTATATTATCAATGATCTTCTAAATATTTGGCCTTTTTTGGACTAAAATATGGTGGCAACTTTTGAATATGTATCTATTATCCAATTCTATGATAAGATTACAATCAAGCGCAACCACCTTTTGATATGAAGCAATGATCATAATTTTCTAAAGTTAGAAAAGTGAATCCAAGCAAACCTTGAAAAGGATAAATGATGTGATTTATGGTTTAGAGATTTCACAAAGTGGTGTACAAGAATGTCAAAGATGCAATGGATTGTTGTTGTTTGATAAGTTAGACTTTGGTTTCAAAAATTGAATGTATAAGGGGCTTGGAGGGAGCACACAATGTGCAATGGATGAAAAGGGTTGGGATTTGAATGGCACATGAGTGGAAGATGGAGAAATATTTGTAAGAGTGTTTCTATAGTTGTAGAGAAATAAGATATTGATTTCTATATTCTCATATTGTAGAAAAGTGAGATATTAATTAAGTAATTGCCACTTTGAATAGATACCTCTCATCAATTTGTATATAGGATACAAAGCTATTTACATTGCTCTACCAAAACCTTGCATATTTCTCATCTCATTCTAGTCCCCTACCTTCCCTCTCCTTGCTTCTTTTCTCAATTTTTTATTCCTCTTCCACCACCCACTACTTCATCCAATCCCTCTC